TGTCGCGGATGTACTTGTGATAAGGATAGTTTACAAGCCTATGAAATCATCGCTGATTGTTTTATGACACCATGTGTAGATTCTGTAAACGTACCAGGTCAATGTTGTCCTAACTGTCCAAATGGTAAGATAGTGTATCTTTCATTAGCCGTTAGTGACAACAAATGACTACCAACCTACATTCAGTTCGATAAATTAGAACATCTCGCTGAATAAATATTAAACTAGTAATAAGTAAAGAATAGCAAGAAAATACTTTCACTTACATTCTTGTCATACAATATTAAAATTGTGTACACATATAAAACAATTAGAAACAGGAAAATCGACTATAGTAGGACATCAAAGACGTACTATCCTTCTTTTGCAAGATGGAATAACAGCAACAAAATAACAACTTTCATAACAATGTTATTGGTGTTGTCAATGTGTTATTCAATCATGATTTCTTTCTATTCTTATTGTGAGATGAATAAATAAATAACCTATATGTTTTCAGGAGAGAACTGTCGAGCTGAATTTAAAGATGATAATGGTGTTGAAAGAAGTGAAATTATCAAAGTTAGTGATGGTGTAGTCAAGTTCAACTCAACTGAATGTCAATGTGACTATCAAAATTACAATGGAGAACCAAAAGCAAATTGTGTACAAGTATTGAGTATTGAGCCGGTAATTGCAGAAAAATCAACTCCGTAATTTGCTTTAATAAATGTATAAGTAAAACTGTTTCAACCTTTCGGAGTTTTTTATAATTCAAAATAATGGGTTCTGTTTTTGAGCACGATAACTCTTGTCAACACTATTTACCGACATTCTCGCACTTACAATATTGTAACTTTGTATTCAACTGAAAATGAAATGAAATATGTTAAGGAGCGTCAGCTCCAAACGAGCACCTAGACACGATTAAAGGGGTTGATTTGAGTCCCGAACATATGTAAATAGTCTTCAGAAGTACTAGAAATGTACGAAAATCGCATCATTCCTTCATAAATATCTCAAGCTAGGAATTTCTTTTCCTATTCCTATAGATGTCATTTATATATGACATGCAGTGTCTCTCATAAAAAGATGACTCGTCTTTTTAAACCTCTAAAGAATTCCCGTTTCTGAGACTTAAATATGATATGGTAAAAAAAGCCTTTTAATGTATGTTGTATGACATCACTAGTCTCAGAGACATGGACATTAACTGAATCATGTAACTTTTTTAGATTAATTCAAAATAAAAGTACACATACAAGTGGTAAAATAGAGGATAATGTAAAACGTATAACTATAAAATGACCGATAATATCACAGTATAGGTGGTATTAAAGTTCAACACAAACAATCAATCTAAACATGGGTAAAATTGAAAACAATATAATTACACGAAATGTTTAAAATGTTTAGAAGTTGAGATGACTTAATCTCGTTAAGATATACATGGTGCAGACCAGAAGGATGTAAAACTCCATTCATTTTATTTTTTCTCATTAAGATAGCGATGTGTGAACAAATGTACTTCACTGTTGGGTCATGTTCACGAAAGCAACACAAAACAAAGTCGGTATGCCTGTCGCCTGTTGCCTCTGTCAGGTCTGGATTAGAATGCTAAAGCTTTGGCACTAATACAGATGTCGTATTGAACATTTTTATCATTGTTGTATGTAGTGTAGGTAGGTTCTAGTCAGAAACTCTAGAGACTGTGCAGACACTTGGAGTAGCTATTGTGACAGTTATCAGCACGAGTATGATCATATATCTAATATATACTTTCTCTCCTACTCTCCGAAAGAAAAATCAATGTAAATAGAAATTTGATGAAAAATCTATTTTATGTTTCAATTTTACAAAATAGATGTACCGTGTAGCAATCTTGATTTAAATTCGTCCTCATGTCATGGGTTCAAGGCGATTTCAGACATGCCTCAAAATATGCCATAAAAATTAGTCAAAGTTTAAATACATTTAAGATTATTCTTTGTGGTGCATACAAAATATGAAATAAAATTAATTTATGTTATTCTGGTAAAATAAAATTGAATTAAGATTAATATTATTAAGTGCAAACGGTTCTATGGCCAATGTTGTTCTTCAAATTATTTTCTCTCTGTGACGATCATCGATCTGGATCTTTTCCTAAAAATAAAACAAAGTTTTTCTGCATCTCATCTAAGCAGAAACCAATGGAAGCTAAACTCTATAAGAATGTTTGTGGTCTAAAACATATTCAGTAGAATGTTTGATCATTACCTCCCATTACATACAAAGTGAAATGATTTAAATCTGTAAGAAAAAGATCACCTATTATCTCGGTGCCGATCACTATTGGTCAACCTATAACAATCACACAAAACATTTTTTAAAGACTTTGTCTATATTTGAGTATGAGATCTTTTGACAAATAAATTTTGGAGCTTACACTTTTATTCGATGTGGAAACATGAATATTATTGAAGGCCGACACAAAGCCCGTATGCAGCGCCCGTACTTTGACTAAAGTTAACCATTGGCTACTGTCGGATTTGATAATCTTAACTGTATTTGGTATGCAGGGCTTCTATTGCCGAACTTAACTAAGTATTTGTTTTGTGCCAAAAGTATGGAAGACCGTTATTGCAATTAATGCTTTTTCCATAAGTTGTTTGTTTGTATAAAATCACACGTGCATTTGAGTTATTTAAAAGTAAAAAATTTGGCGCTGGTAGACCCAATCATTTGCAGCTGCAAAAAAATAAAAAAAACTTCCACTCAACGAGCAAGACTTCATCTTAGACAGAAATCGAGAAGGTGTTTTTGTGCAATGCTAGGATTCAACACAGAGGATTCTAATCAATGAAAATAATACTGGTGAAACTATCCAATGGTGAGGTCAGTTGTCCTTGAAAAGTATGAGAGGACAAAAACGGTGGGCGTTGTTACAATTTGGACAAATTTTACACAAAATTACATCATTGTTACTATACTTCTGGGTCTTTTACTCAAAAACCGCAGCTCAATGTACATCTCAATTTAGCAGAAACCATAGAATGGTACGGTAATTTTTAAAACTATATAAACATGTCCTGGCATATAACCTCTAAATTTTTTGGCACAATTTGTCTTTGGAAAGTCATTGTGGTCATTTCATTTAATATAATTATAATAGTTACAAGTTTAAAAGTAACAATGACAGCTGTTATTAATCATCAGTGGTATAAACGCGATCTATGTGGATGTACTGGCAATTTTAACCTTAAAAAAATATTAGTCTTAGAGACTGCTCCACACAATTCTTGACAATTGAGTCAATGCATGTCAACTCAAACCATACAATTCCAAACCTTTATTAGTCGCTTAAGAGTCTTTAAAGATTTTTACAGTTAAGGTACCCAATCATGGTCGATATAACAAGTGAAAACTCAAATATAATTAACCAGAAGAAACATAAAAACCCAACAAATTTATGCGCACAGATCAGATGTCCAATCAATGAAAGTCTATGTACATACCTTCAGTAAACAAGCAAGTAAGATAGTGTATGGGCTATTTGTGAGAGTACGAGACACATACAAAAATATGACAACCTTGTTCATAGCATTCAGTCAATCAGTACATGAAAACTGTCCACTCGCCAATAAGGTGATTTATTATATTATATTATCTTATTAAAATAATGAAGATAGACAGAGTTAAACTGAATAAGCCCAACTACAGTATCTCTTCCAATTTCGCCATCCTGGACCTGTTCATTTAGATTACCACTCAAAGTACACATAAAAACCTATAGTTATTAATGTATTGTTTCTCTGATATGTTTTCGACACTAAATTTTGATACTTTGACACTAGCGACATGTATATTTTGACACGTGTCAAGCGCTTATTGTGACTTCTCTGCAAACTTGCAATAACTACGTTATATATCTGTAAGTCAATATTCTCCATCATTAAGTTTATTTGGTATGTACCATATGATAATGACATAATAAGTATTATGAAGAAAAAAATATATAAAAATATCATACACCAACATGAAATGTTAGAATAGATGTTGTACCCTGTTCAATGCAGTATAAAATACTACTAGCAAATACCGTACCAGACTACCAGACATTATACGGTCTC